AGGAACCTGTTAGATAGTTGTTGTTGAGCCATCATGGTCCAGTGGGACCAGCAGCGACTTCCTTGGGAGGTACGAGTGCTCACTGACAAAGCCCAATTTTCTGTGCTGAACAAACACTTAAAGTAGATTTTATATGGCCAGACACCTGTGCCTTGTGCTTATCATCCTGGCTACTTGGGAAGCTGACAGCAGGATTGTAACTCAAGACCAACTAGATGGAAAAGCTTGCAGGAAGCCTTCTCGTCCCCTAGCTGGGCATGGTGTGCGTGCCTGTCATCCTAAGCTGTGTTGGGAGGCTTGTGTTTCCATGACAGCTATGGCAGAACAGGCCTCTCTCACCCTGCAGTGGCAGGGGCCTGTCACCTCAGCTACCACAAGAAGCCTTTAATAGGCAGAGCAGAGTTCAGGCATTCCCCTGAGCCTGAAGTAAGGCCTTATTCCAAACATAGCCAATGGAACAAGGTCTGAAGAGATGGAATCAGTACCTTCCTAACAAGCACAGGGGCCTGAGTTCAAGCCCCAGTACTGACAGAAGAAAAAAGAAAAGAAAAACCATCACTACATACGCATGTGTGATACTTCACCCATTATCCCTTATAAATACAAAAGATTTCATATTTTAAAAAATAACCTTAAAAGTAAAGTAGCATGTTTTTTTTTATTTTATTTATATACATATAATGTTGTACAGAGGAGTTACTGTTACATGAGTAGGAGTAATGAGAACATTTTGTAGAGAGCATTGTCACCTCCTCCTTTGTTTTCCCTCTACCATCATTTCCCTCACCACCCCCAACTCCTCCTGCCCCCCCACCCTGACGTTGTAAAGTTCGTTTTCAACATAGTGTCCTGTACATCTCATCGTCATCACAGTGGGTCAGCCTGCATCCCCATTTAAGCGTTCCCCAATATCCCTTCCCCTCCCCAAATTACAAAAATGTATATACAAGATGCAGGACACCGGCATCAAATCCAGTGAAAACAGCGGTTATACTGAGGGGGAAGAACATATAAAAGAAACAAAGGAATCACATAGTGCATTGTAAGTACATTAAAAACAATACCAAGAAAGAAAAACCACTTGTGTCCCTGTCCTGGGGTACATTTTGCTTAACATTATCTCATGTGGTCATATGTACATAACCTTTGACCTTCTCTACGTCCTAGCCATGTACTAGTCACTGCTAACAAGGGAAACCATGGGACCTATGTTTCTTTGGGCCTGGCTTACTTCACCTAATATAATTTTTTTTTGGGTCCAGTTGTGGAGCCTGAACTCTGAGCCTGGGCACTGTCCCTCAGCTCTTCAGCTCAAGGCTAACACTCTACCACTTGAGCCACAGCGCCACTTCTGGCTTTTTTCTTTTTTTGCTTATGTGGTGCTGAGGAATCGAACCCAGGGTCTCATGCATGCAAGGCAAGTGCTATACTACTGAGCCACCTTCCCAGCCCAACTTAATATAATTTTCCAAGTCTTTCCATTTCCTAACAAATGAGGCAATGTCATTCTTTCTGACGGAGGCATAAAATTCCATTGTGTATATATATATACCACATTTTCTTGATCCATTCAGCTACTGAGGGGCATCTGGGTTAATTCCATATCTTAGCTATGGTAAATAATGCTGTGGCAAACATGGTTGTGCTATTAGCTTTGGTATGATCTTGTTTGTGATCGTTTGGGTAAATGCCCAAAAGTAGGATTGCTGGGTCATAAGGGAACTCTGTAGAGTCTTTTGAGGAACCTCCATACTGCTCTCCAAAGTGGTTGAACAAGTTTACACTCCCACCAACAATGCAGTAGGGTTCCCTTTTGGCCACATCCCTCCAGCATCTGTTGTTACTAGATTTATTAATTATAGCCATTCTAACTGAGGTGAGGTAGAATCTCAACATTGTCTTGATTTGCATTTCTTTTTTATCAGTAAGTTTTTTTTATTGTGAAAATACCATACAGAGGGGTTACAATTACATGAGCAAGTTAATGAGTACATTTCTTATCAAGCATTGTTGCCTCCTCCTTTGTTTCCCCTTACCATCCCTGCCCTCCCATCTCCTCCCCCTCCCCCCCCGCCCCGCATTTCTTTTATGGCTAAAGAAGTTGAGCATTTCTTCATGTGTCTATTGGCCATTCTTATTTCCTCTTCAGAGAAATCTCTCTTTAAATCTTTAGCCCATTTATTATGGGAGTTGTTTCTTGAGGATTTATTGTTGGGGGACTTAGTTTTTTGAGTTCTAAGTATATTTTGGATGTAAGAAAAGATGCAAACATAAAGGGAATCCAAATAGGGAAAGATGAAGTAAAACTCTCCCTCTTTGCAGATGACATAATCTTGTATTTAGAGAACCCCATGGACTCCACTCCCAAGTTACTTGAGCTGATCGGAAACTTTGGCAAAGTAGCAGGGTATAAAATTAACCCTCAGAAATCAATGGCTTTCCTGTATGCCAATAATGAGAAGAGTGCAGCTGAAATTAGGAATGTAACCCTCTTTGTAATAGCCCCACAAAAAAATAAAATACTTAGGAGTTAACTTAACAAAAGAGATTAAAGACCTCTATGATGAAAACTTTAAAATCCTGAAAAAGGAAATTAAAGCAGAACTAAGCGAGTGGAAAAACCTCCCATGCTTCTGGATTGGGAGGATTAACATCATGAAAATGGCAATACTCCCACAGGCTATCTACAAATTCAGTGTGATACCTATCAATATCCCAACCTCATTCTTCAAGGAAATAGAAGAAGCAATCCAAAAATTCATATGGAACAATAAAAGACCCCAAATAGCGAAAACAATCCTTAGTAGAAAGAACAGTGCTGGAGGAATATCAATTCCAAGTTTCAAACTCTACTACAAATGCATAGTAATCAAAACAGCTTGGTACTGGCACAAGAACAGCCCTGAGGACCAGTGGAATAGGAATGAAGACCCAGAAATGAACCCACAGACCTATAGCCACCAAATCTTTGACAAGGGAGCTAAAGAAATAGAATGGAAGAAAGATAGATTCTTCAGTAAATGGTGCTGGCAAAATTGGTTAAACACTTGTAGAAAACTAAAGCTAGATCCGTATATATCACCCTGTACCAGAACCAACTCTGAATGGATCAAAGACCTCGAAATAAAAGCAGACTCCATGAAAGTATTACAGGAAGGAATAGGAGAAACCCTAGGGCTCCTAGTCACAGGCTGAAATTTTCTTAATAGAGACCCAGAAGCACAACAAATCAAAGAAAGGTTGGACAAATGGGATGGCATGAAACTGCAGAGCTTCTGCAAGGCAAAGACGTAGCTAGTAAGATCAACAGAAAGCCCACAGACTGGGAGAAGATCTGCACTAGCCATACAAGAAGCATGTTTTTAATGGAACACATTTAGAAATTGAAAACAATAGCATAAAACTGACTTCATACCTTTTATTTCCAGAGCTTGTCTAAATGGTAGTTTTGCATTGTTTTTCTTATTAGACATATTATTGCCTGAAAATGTGAGCTAGAATTATCTTTGAATAATGGAGTTTAAACAGACAAAACTTAAATGTCATCTACCTCACATTAGAACTTCATTAGCTCTAAAGAGCACTACTTAGTGATCTTTTCTGAATATTTTTATTATCTTTAAGTAGTTGTACAAAGGAGTTGTCATTCAACAAAGTAGTTTATGAACATAATGCATCTTGATCAATGCACCCCATTCAACCTCCTCACCCACCCCAGCCCACCCCTTCCCTAAAAGAAAAAAACATTCAGTCATCTTTAAATTTCCCATTTGGCATCTGCTTTCTATGTGGAAATACCTCACGGTTTAAACCGTGCCATTTCCCAACCTGGCTTCGGTGCCGGCCTCCGTGGCAGTTAGGAAGAAGAGCTTGGCCTTGGTTAAGCATATTGTAGTTGTATAAACTAAACCTCGGAGAGCGAGCTGCCTAAAATCACATCTCACAACGAGGCTGCCTCAACTCGAGATTTCATGCACAATAACTCCATTTGAGCAGCAAGAAATCGACCAATGCACAAATTCTGATGTTCCTGAGAAACGGTCAAGTTGAGGTAGAGTCTCCAGAGTGACAGAAATCGACCAATGCACAAATTCTGATGTTCCTGAGAAACGGTCAAGTTGAGGTAGAGTCTCCAGAGTGACAGAAGAGTTTTGCTAGCTGGTGCCCAGTGTGCACGTCTCACGTCGGCTTTCTGGGCAGCCCTGGGTCTTTTCAAAGCAGACAGGTGGGTTTTGTGGCTCTGATGGAGATGACCTGTTCTGACTGCGATCTGAAACGCCAGCCTCTGACCTCTAGAAGTAGGATAAGAGCTTCTGCACTTTAAAGTTTTGCCCACGGAGCCATTATCTGAGCATCCTGGGGATGGAGACTGCCTCAGTGCCTTTGCAGTCCTGGGAGCGATGCCTCCCCTTAGACACGCATGTGGAGATGAGGCAGGGCAGCCCTGTAAGCCGAGGGTATGGACATTGGGATGTCACCCTGTGTGAACAAGACACAACCCAGAGATAGCCAGGAACAGATGATGCTTATGGAGAATAAACACCTACAATGGATGTGTCTTTGAGCTCCCAGCCACCACTGTGCCACCCATAGTTGGTGGCACTGAATAAATGTCTGATGAAGGACTGCTTCCACAGGTTCCATTTTGGATACTGTGTGTGTGTGTGTGTATGTGTCTGTGTGTGCACGCACGCGTGCATGTGCCCCAACCATGCCCACTTTATTCATAAATCAGCCAGGATTTAATTAATGAGTAGCCTCCCTAGCTAAGCAGGGTGGCCTGTGGGTGGACATGGGGAGGGAACTGAGGCCATGGCCTCCTCATTGCAAGTTCTGATCATTTTTTTCAGAAAGCAAGACCAGCTTCCGCTTACCCTTCATCCCTAGAAACGACGTTCAACCCTAGGCGCTACTGCTGAGTGGCAACCAGCCTGCCTTTCGCAAGCTTCCTCTGCTGATGAAGCAAAACATTCAACTATGTTTTATTTTTTTTTTCCTAGCGGAAGATAATAGTCTGTCTCAAAAGAAGAAGGTCACCGTGGAAGATCTTTGCAGTGATGATTTTAAAATCCACGACCCGGAGGCAAAGTGGATAAGTGGTAAGTTCAGACAGCCTCCGTGCCTCCCCCTTCCCCAGACCCCTCCCTCCTCGCTATGGCCCCATGGCCATCCCCAGGTCATGGCTTCTTTGGTGGTTTGTTCTCAGGGCTTCCACGGGCCAGGAGACTGTAGGGACGCTCAGAGCTCTTGCTGTGATATTATCCTGTGTGGTTCTCATCGTAGAACCTGGTCTTAAAGGCTTCTTGTTCTATGTGCTGCCACCCAAGCCTGGGGAGGCATCAGCTGCCTGAGAAATGGGTTCTGCCCAGGCCACCTCCTCCTGTGTCTCCTCCAGGAGCCATTATTTCCCACACAGACAGGAGCACGTTGCTAGGCAACAGCACCCCTGGCTCCCCCAGCCGCTGTGCCTTCTCCAGGGTTCTGAAGGCTTCTCTGACAGCGCTGCTTCTCTGACAGTGGCACAGGAGCCCGCAGGGCCCCCCCTCCTCTAGGGCACTGCTGAACACAGATGCTCAGACAGTCACCTCACTCTGGGGCACATCTAATGTCGCTGGTTCGGGGATTTTTTTTTGTCTTAAATAGCAAAGCTAAATAGAATTAGAGGCCGGGAGAGGCAGTGTGCTCACCTCTTCTCATCCCCAGCGTGACGGCCCTCCCTCCCATCTGCCCCCCCTCGGCCCTGAGGCGTTTGGGGAAGGAAGATGCTGGCGCTGGCCGCCCTCCCCCTCCGCCAGTGCGGCCCTCATTATCTCTGCAGCTGTTGTTTACGGTCTGTCTTGGCATCCGTGGGATGCGCTTGAAGATGAGTCCTCGGGTCAGGAACGCTTCCAGTATGATGCTTGAAGTCCAGTTCCAGCCCTGGCTTTTACAGCAAGTGCGGGGACAGGTGGCTCTTCTGAGGTTGTGAAGCCAGTTAGCAGTGCGGTGGGGGTGGGGCTGGCTGCCTCTGGACTTCCACCACCACGTCCTTGCACGTCCATGCCCTCGCATGACCGCATCCTTGCCTGGACACTGTTCTGTGGGGTGACAGGAGAGCTTGAGATTTTGTTGTTGTTGTTGTCAAACTGCCTCTGAAATGTTTTTCATGCTTCACAGACTCAAAAATCAATTAACAATGACTTTGCCTTTGGTCTCTTACTTAGAACAGCAGCTTCTCTTTTGTCCTCTACTGTGTCTCTGATATTTATTTCTGACCTTGGGTCATCTTATTTACAAATGAAAGCAGTAGATGAATCTTGGAGCAATGCATTTTCATACAACCTGGAGTTAGGGCTGGGAAGGTGGCTCAGTGGTAGAGTGCTTGCCTAGCATGCATGAAGTCCTGGGTTCCATTTCTCAGTACCACATAAGCAGAAAAAGCTGGAAATGGCGCTGTGGCTCAAATGGGCTAGCCTTGAGCAAAAGAAGCTCACGGACAGTGCCCAGGCCCTGAGTTCAAGACCCAGGACTGGTAAGAAAAGCCCCACACTGGAGGTATATCCCCCATTTTCCTCCATAATTTCATTTGTCTGGGTCACATCCCTTCTTTGAGTCACATTTGCTAAGGGTTTATAACTTTTGTCTTTGAAAGGGTCAATGTGTTTTTTCCTTGTTTCTTTCTATAGATGTTTAGTTTCGATGGTATTGATTTTTGCCCTAATCTATAGTATTTCTTTCTGTCTGCTCTTTTTGGCTTTGTCTTGTTTCATTTTTCTAGAAGCTTGAGGCACATTATTAGGGTATTATTTTGAGGTCTCTCAGTTATATTGATATGGATACTCACACGAATAAACTTTTCTCTTAGAACTGCCTTTGCTGTATCCAGTGGTTCTGGAAGGTTGTGTTCATTTTCATTGGTTTCGGGGAACTTTTACATCCCCCCTCTAATCCCTTCAGTGACTCACTCATAATTCAGCAGCATGTGTTTGGTCTCCTTGGGCTGGAATCTACCCTGTCATTTCCTTTGCTGTATGGAGCTTCCCTGAAAAATTAAAAATAGATGTGTCCCACCACCCAGTGATATTATTCAAGCAGGGATCCAAAAGAACGTAAGTCAGGATATAATGGAGGTTCACGTATGCTCATGTCCACTGCAGTCTATTCACAAAGCCGAGCTCTGGGAAGAGTCTAGATGCCCTGAGAGATGAATGGATCGAGAGCTGTGGTATATATACTGGAGTATCACTCAGTCATAAGAGAAATGAGATTATCTTACTTGCAGAGAGATGGATGGATCTGGAGACCATCATATTCTATATAAAGTAAGCCAAGTTCAGAAGAACAAAGTTTCATCTTTCCTCTCATGTGTGGATGCTAGACTTAAAATATAAACGTATCAGGAACGCATATGGGAGTGCGTTTGTGTGACTAAGCTGACTTGGGTGGTGGTGTGTGCGTGTCTGAGGTACTGCCACCAGCCTCTTTTGAGTAATTAACATGCGCTTCGACAAAGTGAGCCATAAGAAGTCAAAGCCTGTTTTGCCTGTGGAATAGGCCCCTAGCTGCTCCAATGTCTCTCAAATATCACCAATTTAACCTGACCGTTTCCAAATCTGCATCCTCATTCCCTCCCCCACCGAACCACCGAACATGAAAACTCCTCCCCAGCTCCGCACACCAGCCCTGAGCAGCCCACCCCTTTTCCTCATGCTAACACCCCGAACTAGTAAATGTAGAAACCACGTCTTGTGATCACCGGTGTGAGCTGTAATGGGGAGGTTCATTCTAGAGAGGGTGGAAGGCACTTCATAGAGCCTGCCTTCCTCTACCTATACAGAGCCCTCTCTTCGGTCCACGGTGAGCCACGCGTGGCCCACAGCCCCTGGGGATCATCCACCTCACAGCCCAGCTCTGGATGCTGAGACCTCTGAACCTGGCAAGGGTCCCACACACCACCGCTCTCCACAGACGGCTTTGCTTTTGTAGAATCGCCTTTTGCAAAACAGGCTGAATGGAACCAAGATTCGCTTCATGCCCTAGGCTTGGAGCAAGCCGAGGCCTCTCCCATCCTTCTGAGGACACACATGCACGCACACACACATACACACACACACACACACACACACACGCGCACACACACACACGCATGCACACACACACACACACACACACACATGCATGCACACACACACACGTCTCCTCCCCATATCTCTTGGATGCAGGCCTGCCAAGGGCTGACAGGCACAGTGATTCGCTTGCCCGCTGGCCGCGGGCAGCTCCCCCTGGGCTCGCTCCCTGGTCTCCTCTCTGAAGGTGACTCAAGTCTGGACGCAGCCACGTTCATCTGGCCGGCATGGCGCTCTCGGCGCTCTCCCGCTGTGTGTGCACTCATTTTCATGAGTCCCACGCTTGTGAGCGGAGAGCCCTCTGCGTCTCAGGACGCAAGGCTGGAGAGACTGTAAAATTGGAGGAAATCACTTCCTCTGAATATAGGAAAATGTCACTGGCGGGTTGATAGTGGAAAAGTATGTGTTTGAGGAGGTGAAATTGGAGTTGGAGCACAAGGCTGAAAGCATCTTGATTTCTTGAAGGTACTTCATGTGCTTTCATCATTATGAATAAAAAACAGATTCGTTTTAGAAGTGAAGCCCGTGGAGCTCTGCCCAGGGGGAACTCAGGTTCCAAGCGGCTCACGTTTTTCCACTGGTTTGTGGAGATCACAGTTTGCATTCAGAATCATGAAGCCCTGGAAGGCAAGTGAGCAGTGATGACCCCCGATGTCCTGGCGCCGCACCCCCGGGCCCCAGTGTCCCCCCGACATCCTGGCATCCCCTTGATCACTCCTGGCTATAGAGTGACACCAGCAGTGACACTGGGAAATGCCCAGGAGTTGCTGGCCAGAAGGGAGTCTCCACGACTCGGGGAGGGGACAGAGGCCGTGGGAGTGTCATTTCCAAACATGATGCAGAGCACACGTGGAAAGCACACCCTTGTGACTATCAGTGCTTCTAAGGAACACACAAAATCGGCTTGTGCACAGCTCTGATTTATTTTCTGTCTTAAGGGGGGAGAATGTAGTCACAAAATTCAGTGCATATCCTACAAAATTAAAAAAGTTGAGGCAAAGGGCAGATTAGGAGGAATGGGGGAGAATGATGGAGAACATGACCAAGGTGCATGGTATTCATAAACTGCTTCATTGAGTGCCACTCCACTGTACAGCTACTGAAACATAATTGTTCATTGAAAGCTTTAATTATTATAGAGGTGGTATACAGAGGAGTTACCATTTCATATGTCAGGTAATGAGTACATTTCTCTTTGGACAATGTTACCCCTTCCTTTGCTCTTTCCTAGTTTTCCCCCATCCCCCATTTTTTTTCATCTAACTTTTTTCAGGAAAAACAAAGGTAGTCCTGGCGTAAGGAGCCAGTTGAATGCAATTAACCCTGTCCACCCCGTCTCTCCCCAGCACACACCTGATGTAGCCTCCAGCATTCCAGCACCCGAGCGAGAGCTACAACTGTCATCTACTATGCTCCCCAAGGTTTCTATTGGAGGATCTTTTCATTCTGACAGGAAAAATGCAAAGGACAGCTGCATTTGGACCACTGGTCATAATAGCAACCAGCAGCCAGTATTAGGAGTAATGTGGGTAGCTACATAAACACTTCAGTGTGCCTGCATCCGTCTTCTCACTGAAAGTCAGAGGCATCTTCAGCTGCTCTTTAAAAGGAGTAAGCTATGAACGGAAGAAAAGAGGCCACCTTTGCAAAGAGATCTGGAAGGTGGTAGAAACCCAGGGCAGCCCTGCCTCAGGGTCCCTCCGTGGCTTCTTTCCCTCCCCACCTCCGACCCCCCGCTTCCCCTGTGAACCGTTACCTCCACCATGACCTCCACACCTGTCCAGATAGGCCCTGTGGAACTCTACTGCCTCTATCTCTTCTCCTTTATAAAAGTGCTGTTACTCAATTTTTCTCTGCTTCAGAAATCTTCATTATTTTCGCTTGATCTAAATAAATATATTCTCTCGATTTCTAGGGTAGAATTAACTACCAGCCCTCCAGGCTGCAGGAAATCCCTCCAACGGTTCAGCCAAGGTCCAGGCACCAGTGGCTCA